ACACTACTCTCCTAGCTGCTGGGCTGGCCACATGCTGGGCGCATGCACACAGCATTTATCGGTGACATTATTGGTCACATCAGCCAAAAAAAGACGATTTTTACTGGTCTTTACCAGTAAATTACTGGTTCCAGTCATGAGTGGGGGGCTAATTAGTACATGGATCCTTTGTGAGGGGGGAGGGTCTCCTGGAGTACACACACATACTAAGCAGTGTTGAATTGTGGGGTCACCATGGCTTGAAATGCTGTTGACTCTGCTGGGGCCCATTAAAATGGAATATATGCCTTTTGGCTTTGGATTAATAGCATGCATGATTTGCACTATATAAGTAGATACACAGTGCTGCTTAAAAGAGTGTTTATGTGCTAAAACTGGCACCAGTTTCAAAAAATGTAAAATGCATCAATTCTGGATGAACTAAATTTATATGCAAATTATTACAGCTATGTTTATTTCAAGGTCAGTGCTTATACATTTGCTTCTTACTTCCATATACTCAGGGAGAACAGGAACTAACATAGGGGTGGGCAATTACTTTGGCTAAGGACCAAACAAAAAATCTTTCAGAAGATATCATTTTAACTAATTACATAAAAAACCCCAAATCATATACTAAAATCAAGCATCTGTTACAACATATTTTAATATTATTGAGTAGTGTATATGGAGGCAATTGCATAAGAGCTCAAAATAAAGTCTTACTTTTGTATATTGTGTCGGGGTGACATGTGTGTGTGTGTTGGGGGGGGGGGTGCCTGTGCACCAGGTCCTGGGATCCAGCTGGAGGTGAGGGGGAGGGATGGCAGGGGGCACGTGCAGCAGGTGGCCAGAGGGCCAGTGCAGGCAGGTGCAGGTGTGGTCCTCTCCCCTCACACAGCCTGTGGGTGCTTGCACAGCACTCCACGAGAAGCCAATCCCTGCTTGGCCCTGCCCAGGGAAGCTCACTGTGTTCCTGCCTGTGTCCACCAATGGCCCCACCCCGTGTACACAGCTTTCTGGTAGGCCTGCTCCCAGTGCTGCTATAGTCCCCTGGGTACACCTTAGCTTCCCCTGCCTCCAGTGGCTCTTCCTTCTGCCCTTGCTGTACTGCTCCATGTAGAAAGTAGCAAGGGGAAGGGCAGCAGCTGTGAGGACATGTGCTGGCACTACACGGCTAGCCAGGCTAAGAGAATGCTTCAGTCAGGTGGCTCGTCCTAGCATTTGAATCTCTAGTTCCAGACCACCTTCCACCCAACTTGGCTGCCCATCATGCTAGGTAGGCAGAGAGGGACAGTGGCTGGGACCCGGACTTGGAGCCCCATGTGCTGGGACAGGAGCCGCCTAGCTGCTGCTTCCTCTTCCTGGCTGGGTGTGTGGTGCCAGGCACAGGTCCCCACGGCTGCTGTCATTTCCCTGTGCTACCTGCTTTTCGGAACAGCACAGCAGGGGCAGGAGGAGCCACTAGAGGTGGAAGAAGCCAAACACTAACCAGGTAGCTGCAGCCACACCAGAAGCATCCCTGCCAAGAAGCTGTGCATGCTGGCCAGGGCTGTCGGGCAGGGCTCAGTTCCATGCCCCTCAGGGGCAGCTGTGGACCAAATTTAAATCGGTTGGCAGGTTGGCTCCAACCCACGGGCCATATTTTGCCCACTCCTTGTCCAACAGGAAGGCACCAGGGAGAAAGTGGGGAGGGGAAGGAGCTGCAGAGGGAAGAAGTTGGGTCAGGGTCTTAGGACAAAAGGGCTACCTGACCTCCCACATTTATTTTCCCTGCTCTAGCAGCAGGAGGGGGACAAATTCAAGGTAAACCTCCAATATTTAGATTCTATACCTAGAGAATTATTATAACAATTTTTCCATACACAGAATCTAATTACTGGGGGATTGTCTTATATTAAGCTTTTATCTTATATTCAAGTAAATACAGTAACTAAAATATTGTTCTTAATATGTACTGACTTGGAGTTTTTGGCTGAAGACAATATAGTTAGCCTCGGACAAAATAATTTTGTATAGAGATTTCTTTTTTATTTTAGTATTTTTTTGTACATTTAGTCCTTTTGGTCCTATGTTGGCTATTTGATTCTCTCTGGGTTTTTTCTAAGGGTAATAGCAGTTCAAGGACTTTATATGTAGGTATCTTTTTCTACCTAGAGAAAAAGCTGATTTTCCTAAAATCGAACCTGAAAATTCAGTCAACTTATAAGCAAAGCCTGTAATGGTGCTATTTTATTCAGCAGACTCCTGTCTAAGTGCACTGGAGGGAGAGAATCAAGATTGCACAGTCATGTAAATTTGGCATTTGCTTGATTTTGTATTCCAAGTAATATAATTTTAATAGGGGCTTTTTTGGTTTGTAACTGTAGAACATAATAAAAAAAATACAGAGAATTTGATTATGCAACATCTATCATAGATTTGATGGGCTTTACTTTCAACAGAGTTCTCTGTGTGCCTAGTCTAAGATTTCTGTGGAACCAGAAGAAAACAAGCAGTGCTATTCACCAGTGGCCTTTATACTGGATTATGTGAACAGACTTGCAAATTTATTTTTTTTAATACAGCACAAATTGTTGCATGGAACATATTACTTCAGCTTTTCACTGAGGAGTTTTTAGATTCAGTATGAAATTTTTGTGTCTAAGTGGTGGCCCCTTACTTCCTCCTCCTGGCTACTGGAAGTTAAAATGCCAAAGTGCTTTTAACAAAAATTATTGCAATTAATCACGATTAAAAAAGTGGCAATTGATTAAAATTTTAATTGTGCTGTTAAACAATAATAGCATCTCAATTTATTATAAATATTTTGGGCTTTTTTCTATATTTGCAGATAAACTAATTTCAATTATAACTCAGTGCCATAAGAACAGAGCAGAACTAGGCTAATCTCTGCCTAGTGATTAAGTACAGTATGCAAGAAGGGTCAAAACTAGGGTTTACCATATTTCCAGTTCCAAAAAAATGGCCCCCATACTACTTTCCCTGCTGAAGGGGCAGGCACCCCACCCTGCCCTGCTGCAGCCCCCACACCTAGATAGCTTGACCCTGCCCGGCTACTTTCTGGCCACACGTATGCGTGTGGAGCCCGGCAGCAGCGAGGAGGGTGAGGGGTGCTCTTCCCCCAGTACGCATGGCCTAGGCCTAGAAGCAGCGATTAACTCATGTTAAAAAAATTAAAGCATGAATTTGTTTTTGTGTTAATTGTGCCCATTAGTGGTTTTTAACTGACAGCCCTAGTTAAAATGTTTGTAAATGTGGATACACATGTCTTATGTAATGGGATGGAAGGGGAAACTTTTGGGATAGGGACAGAAACAGCATGAAAACTGTCCATTGGCTGAAGCAAAACAGAAATGGACAGTAAGTCTTTAAATCAAATCTTCAGCTTTCAAAGAGATGTAGCCTAACTCTGGAATCAGTCCTGGCCAAATACTGGTTCAGGTTTCATCTTGATGGTAAGGTGAATGTAAGCTGGACTTTATGAAGGCATGATTATTTGTAATGTGTAAGTAGTAAAGGTCTGCGTTTAATTTACATAATGGACTTCTGACTTTTTCTTGCTCTTTCTTTCCTTACTATGAATCTCTTGCTCTCACTGCCATATGACACATATTCTACTATATTCTTCTTCTTTCCTTCTGATGCTGTTCAATTTAGATTCATTATGTTGGACTTAGAATTTGAACCCACTATAGCCTTGTGCTTACGAGACACCACTGGTATGCAATGAAAAGCACCTGTAGGTTTCCATAGTACAACTGACCTTGTGTTCGCTATACTGCTAGCTGAGTTCGAGAGGAGTTCATTTAACCCAACTCAGGTGAAAACAATAACACTGCAAAATAACTTCAAAAGCAAGGGGTAGCCAAGTCCTCGCTGCACTACTGGCTTGATTATCAGTAGCAATTCCATCGCTGGTGGGTTAAATAGGTTGAGTTTAAAGATACCAAGTAACTCCATAGTTTCATAGTAGGTAGGGTCAGAAGGGACCTGAGCAGATCATCAAGTCCGACCCTCTGCCATGGGCAGGAAAGAATGCTGGGGTCAAACGACCCCGGGTAGGTGATTATCTAGCCTCCTTCTGAAGACGCCCAGGGTAGGACCGAGCACCACTTTCCTTGGAAGTTGGTTCCAGATCCTAGCCGCCCTGACTGTGAAGTAGTGCCTCCTGATATCTAGCCTGAATCTACTCTTCGTCAGCTTATGGCTATTATTCCTCGTTACTCCCGGTAGTACTTGGGGGAACAAGGACTCTCCCATAGCCTGCTGGTCCCCCTTGGCCAGTTTGTAGACGGCCACCAGATCCCCTCTCAGCCTTCTCTTGTGGAGGCTGAACAGGTTCAGGTCCTGTAGCCTCCGCTCCTAGGGTCTGCCTTGCTGCCCCCGATCATGTGAGTGGCCCTCCTTTGGACCCTCTCGATGCTGTCCACATCCCTCCTGAAGTGGGGCACCCAGAACTGGATGCAGTACTCCAACTGCGGCCTGACCAACGTTGCACAGAAGGGGAGGATCACCTCCTTGGATCTGCTTGTTATGCATCTGTGGATGCATGACAAGGTGCGGTTAGGCTAGTTATTCTTCTGCATGCATGAAACAAAGGATAACACTTGAATTATATGTTCAGCTGACACCGCAGTGAAGATACACTCTTAGTTTTCTCTAATGTGTGACATGACAAACAAGATATGTACAAATATGCACACAAGTTTGTACCAAGTATGCTTTTTGCCCTTGCGTAAGAACATCTCTTCTAATAATTGATTTGTATTCACCTACAAATACATTCTTGGGTTTTCACTTTGCTTTTGTTCCTCACGTCAAATCCGAATCGACTTGCACAACATTTGTTTATAAAACGATAAAAGCAGGCAGCCAACAAAGTGTATAAAATAGTTAATTAATTTGAGCTAAATAGTAACTTTTCACTTTTGAAACTGTTTAAAAAAAATGAAAGTATGTGAAAACAAACTATAAATCTACTAATCCTTAAACATGCAGGTGACCTCCCATTAGCTTACCCTTGCCAGAGAAGCTCATCATTAGCAAGATCCTGCCAGACACAAGAAGCCAGGCAGAGGTCAGTTGCATTCAGGTATGACAAAATGGTAAAACTAAGCTCAGGGGGCAACATTTCCAGGTTAATGAATCCTTCTTGTTCTTTGGATTTTCTTGTTTTCAACAGATGGTAGATATCAATGCCTCCTTGGGCTTGTTTGCGATGACTTGCATTGGAAATACTGTTAGTAGTGATTCGTCTACCATGCTCTCTGGAGAGATAGCTTTGTCCGCTGTATCCTTGATGTTGCAGCTGCTGGTTCCTAGCAACTCTCCACAGCCCCTGACCCATCTGCGAGCCTGCTGGTTGTAAAAACCAAATAAAGTTATTTTAAAACAGAAAAAAAAAAAAAAGAGATCTGTGCACTCATAAGCAGAGACCAAATTTGCTAGCAAGGTCAGGTTTGCACTGATAACTAAGTGTAGAACTGGCCTTCAAACAGGAAGTGAAATCTTATCAGTAATTACAGTACAAATCTAATCTCTGGTCCACAGTAAAACAACTGAACAAATATTTGAGAACAAAAGTATCAGAAACTAGCATAGCAACATTTGACTGAATGAATTTTCATAGCCTGATTATAAAAACAGTACTGAGTCAAACGCCTACTAAATCAAATATGCAAGTCAAGGGGCTATAGCAAGTTAACTATGTTTTCAAGTTTAGCTGAAAAATTTACTCGCATGACCTGCGTAAACAATGTGATATGAAATGTAACTAAACAAGACAGTTTACCTTGATGTGTGATAGTATGTAGTAAGCTAAAGCAGGGGTGGACAATTATTTGGGCCTGCGGGCCACAGAGGGAGTTTTGCTGAGCTGTTGTGTGCTGGGTCAGCACCCCCACAGTGCAACAGCTCATCAAAACTCCCTATGTGGGATGGGGCTCCGGGTGGGTGGAGATCAGGACAGACAAGTGAGGCTGGGATCACAGGGTGGGGTCACAAAGTGGTGACAGAGCATGGTCAGGGTCAGGGTTGAGCCATGATCTGCTGCTTACACATCCCCACGGTGGGCGCCAATTCTGTGGGCAGGGGTGTGCAGGGAGCAGTTCATGACTCTACCCTAGGTCCCAGCCCCACAGTTACCACCCAAAGATCCTGGCCTGGGCCCTAGATGCAGCTTCCTGCCTGCTCACAGCCCCATCCCATATACCTGGCCAAGTGCCTTGCCTGCATGAGTCTCACTCCCAGCAGCAGGTGTGGGGCAGATGGGCCAGGGTACCAGGGCAGCAGGGCCAGATCTGGTGGATGCGGACACTGGAAGGAGCGATGCTGCTGGGAAATAGAGTTCAGCCACTGTGCCACCCCAGCACTGCTGCATGCCTCAGGGTGGCGGGATGGGCTGCGTGTGCTATAGCCTGGGCTGCCCACCATGCCTGAGCCAGGTGGGACTGAGGGACCTGCTGTGGGCCAGACAAAATCCCTCGGCAGGCTGGATCCAGCCCATGGGCCATATTTTGCCCACTCCTGGGCTAAAGGCAGGGATCAGAATTAAGAAAAATCCTAATAAATTTGGAATTGAAACTAAATTTGGAAGTGTTGCGCTTACTTGTTAAGATAAAGATCAGGGACCGATTCATTACTTTGGATATTCAGAATGTGTGAGAGGGTTAACTGACACCTGAGATTTCAATGTCACAGCTGAATCCCAGAACTGGGACTTTTATAGAAATACCAAATGTCGATTAAAAAGAAGTGTTAGCAAAGCAGTCTTTTAATAGTTCTATCACATTACAGATGAACGCCACCACTCCAGCTCCATATCAGGAAACATTAGAACACAAAATCAGGGCTACAATATTACTATTCACTATAGCTTGGCGAGTCTGTATCTACATTAACACATTTAGTTCTGGCATACTGCTGAAAATATATAGAAACAGAGCAAATTTAGCAAAAAAAAAATACAAATTATTGGACAGTGACCATGAAGAATCTCTTCTTTAATGAAAACAATTTAAAATAGCAAGGAGTGAGTTGAGAAGAACAGGTTAAGATACTATAAACATATGAAAAGTATGCATACTCTGAATTATGAAGTTATTTATGATTGACGGTTATTTATGATTACTCTTGCAATTAAGAGTTGTGGAATAATATTTAAAAAAGGGAAATTTAACATAAATTTTGAGACTTCTCTCATGATATGTAATAGTTCAAGATGATGGAAGTCCCACTGCATAGAAAACTTATAAACCAACCACACTATGAGAAAACATCTGTTTTCTTTTTGCTACTATTCCCCAACTAAAAGAATGTTTGGTTTTTTAAAGGCTATAATATAGTGTCTTATGGTAAAGATTTTTTTAAAGGGTACTTTCAGTATTTGAATATTTTTATGCTGCTACTGTGTACCAATATTAAAGATCTTATTGATCACACCAGAAGAACTCTATTTAATAAAGTCCTCTGGAAATGCTTTTTATTATAACCCAACTGTGCGGGTAACTGTGCTAATTCTTGCCAGTTACTTACATTGTATGCTATAAACACAACCTGAAATCTAACTCTACAACATAGTTAAGTAAACACACACTCAACTATTTCAGTAATAATTATATTTACTAAAAGGGACAAAGAAGTACTTTACACGTTCCCAGTTTGTGATACGAGTTCATTGTCCAAATGCTACTGAATTTCACAGTAAGGAGTTTCTTATTTGGAACTCCTGCTATGACAGCAGAGTAGCATAAAATAATTGATAAGCATTCATTCCAGAGCTCTACGGTTTCCTGAAGCTGGTTCACAAAAAGCAATATAAACCAGACACATTTAGGCAGTTGAAGACTGGTCTGATAGGCTCTCACAGGCATGTTAAAACTATTTCTAGTCTGGTAGCACACAGAATCAGAATTAGGGCCCTGTTATATTAAGTTGACACATGATAAGAAGGCTCCAAAGAGTTTCAAACGTAACAAGTAAAAGAAAAGTGGGGAAGAAAGATGAGGTAAAGGCCATGAAATTATAGCTTAAAAAAATAAGTGCATATAAGTGTGTAGAATTGTTTTTTGCTTCTGCCATGTTGTATTTATTTAATTCTTGAACAATTTCTATTTTTTATACTTCTTACTATATTTTCATGCCTATAAGAAGCCTCTCAAAAGGTACCTCCCACCTTATTTTTGGGAGTCTCCAAAAAGGGGGGCAGGTGGGGGTGGGGAGATCTTACCCTGGAGTAAGGGTAAGTACCCAAGGTGGGGGCCTGATCAAGTATGTGGTGCTAGGGCCATGCTGAAAGGCCGAATCTACCACGCAGTTCTGCAGACACAATGCAAGGCCCAATCTGATGTGCCAGCTTCAGGGCTGCCTGTTTGGTACAACCCTGTGCATTGGCTCTGGAGCTCATGTGCCAGATCTGGGGCCATGTGCTAGGTTAGATCTGGTGCTACTGCTGCAGACCCCCATACACCATTTTGAACTGGTATGCAGTTGGGAAAGAGGGCTCCCCATGGGTCTAGAAATTAGGTGGTAGTGAAAGCGAAAGAGGGAGTGGTGGCAGCGTTAACTGTGGTGGCTCCCAGATCCACGGCAGTTAATACTACCACTTCTCCACCCCCACTCCAAATTTCCATAGCTGTGGGGAACCTTTCTCCTCATATATAATTTTTCCCAGCTGGCTTTAGGGAAAAGGTGAGGTTATATGTGAGAAAAAAAAAACCCAACAGATTTCGCACCCCCCCGCTTAAATCTCTTATGTTTTACTTAAGTATCTCTCTAACATACAAATCTTTGGTGAGGGTATGAGCTTTTAGAAAATACTGAATTGCTGGGGAAGGCAGGAAAAATAAGGAAAGAATGGATGGGAAGAAGCATAGTTATGGAAGACTTGGGAGTGGGGAATGAACAGAGCAGACTGGTGCAGTAGAGCAGCTACTATTAAATATCATCCATGAACTGTAACTGAAGAACAATAAGATTGAAATGAATTAAAATATCTAACCTGCAAGTTATCTATAATGGTAATTTTCTTCCTGAGATATTTTTTATTATTATTATTAGTTGGCTGTGGCTGGGGTTGTGATGAAACTCAGGGCTTTGTATCTGTGGGGTTATGGCTGAAGCAGCTGAAGAACACCTACCACCATCTGGTGCCTTGTGCCATCATCTAGTGTTTAATTTTGAAGAAAAAGACCAAATCTGAAGTCTGCAAGACTAGCTAGCAGATCTAATTCTAATACTTGTGGTAAGATCTTGTCACAGTGTAAGGGGATGCACCAAGAAGTGACTACCTATCATGACATCTCAAAACATGTCACAATGCAAGCATCATATGTATTCCTCAGACTGTAGAAAGTTATTTGCCAATAGCCGCAAAACTGAAACTGAGCCAATAGAGGCAGTAGGCCTGTGTGAATAGGGAAATATTTGATTTGGATTTGGCTGATTCGGAGGACAGTGATTCAATTTGGAGATTTGAATCGCTGTCCTGAATTGATTCAGCTGAATGGCTTCAGAAGATTTGACGCCAATTCAGAGAGATTTGGTGATTCGGACTGGCCAGGAAGAGCCATGGGAGAAGCCCCCATGGCTGCCTTGCCCAGCCCCATTCCCTGCCCAGCCCTAGCACTTAAAAAAAAAGAAAGCCCCACACTCACCAGCTGCAGCAGCTGCGATTGGAGCCTCTGGGTGCTCGTGTCAGAGACCCACCCATGCAGCGTGGATTGCCTCCCCCCCTCCCCGGTACCCACATGGCAGCTGTCGCATTGTGTGGGTGCAACGTGGTTTGGCAGGGTGCTGTATGCTGCCTGGGTGCTGGGGTCACTGGGGCTGAGCAGTGTTGGGTTCTGACTGACACGTGGAGCCACCCCAGCTCCCAGGCAGTGTGTGGAGCCCTGCCAAGCTGTGCTGCACCTGTGTCATGGTGCAGCCACCGTGTGGGTGTCAGGCAGAGGGGGTGGGGCAATCCCCACTGCCCTGCGCTGTGCGTGGGGGCTCTGCCATGAGCCCTCAGAGGCCCCAGTTGCTGCTGCCAGAACCAGTGAGTGCGATGCTTTTTTTCATTTTTTTTTTTAAAGTGCTGGGAGGCTGGCCTGGGCAGGGGATGGGGCCAGGCATGGCAGGGCAGCCATGGGGGCTTCTCCTGTGGCTCTTCCCCCTGCACCTGCCTCGGCCCCGGAGGGGGAGCTGCGGGGGCTCTTCCCTGCTGCTGCTTGCCCAGCTGGTACAGGGGTGGAGGGGCACAATGCAGGTGTAGCTCACTCTGGGCAGCAGCAGGGAATAGCCTCCGCTCCGGAGCAGCCGTACCCGCATCAGCACTGAGAGAGGGGGCTCTGCCTTGTCACTGCTTGCCAGCTTGC